GAGATCTGTGCTTTTCAGAACTCCAGGCAGCAAACTGCCAGATTAAAAATAACCCTGGATCGTCAAAGAATCTTATCACTGGGGAGAGGGTGGCTTCTTGGAATGGGCCCTTATCCACATTGAGGATGTGGAGCGAACTCGGAATTGGGCCAACAGGAATTGCTCAGGACAAGTGAGAAAACTTGTTATCGAAGGGAGAGGTCAACGGAATCCTTTTTTTTCCTCAGTTAATTAACATACAATGTAGTCTTGGCTTCAGGTGTAGAACGCAGTGATTCATCTCTTATGTAGGACACCCAGTGCTCATTACAAAAAGTGCTCTCCTTAATACCCATCACCCATTTAACCCAGTCCTCCACCCACCCACCCCCATCAACCCTCAGTTTGTTCTCTGTATTTAAGATCTCTTATGGTTTGCCTCTGACTCTGTTTTTATCTTATTTTTCCTTCCCTTCCCCTATGTTCATCCATTAACTTTCTCAGATTCCACATGTGAGTGAAACCATAATCTTTCTCTGACTGATTTATTTTGCTTAGCAGAATACCCTCCAGCTCCATCCATGTTGCAAATGGCAAGATTTCATTCTTTTTCATTGTCAAGTAGTATTCCATTATATATGTGTGTATACATGTATATATATATACATATGTATATATGTATGTATATCTACGTATATACGTATGTATATATGTGTATGTATATCTACATATATACATATGTAGATATGTATGTATATCTACACATATATACATATGTAGATATGTATGTATATGTGTGTGTGTACATGTATACATGTGTATACATATACTTCTTAATCCATTCATCAGTTGATGGACATTTGGGCTCTCTCCATAATTTGGCTATTGGGTTTTTTTTTTAGTGTTTGTTTATTTTTGAGAGAGAGAGCCAGACAGAATGTGAGCGGGGGAGGGGCAGATAGAGAGGGAGACACCAAATCCGAAGCAGGCTCCAGGTTCTGAGCTGTCAGCACAGAGCCCGACTCGGGGCTCTAACTCTCAACCATGAGATCATGACCTGAGCCGAAGTCAGACGCTCATCCAACTGAGCCACCCAGGCGCCCCACTCTGGTGCCTTTTCTTATATCAGAGGCTGTCTCACTGACTGGGTATCCAATGTCCCAGTTTTTCTCCTCAACAGACCTTTCCTCTGAACTAACTGCATCCCTGCTGCGTAACGTCATCTCCTGGAGATGGCAAGTGGCTTACATTTATTTCACCTCCTTCTGCTGTCCTAACTCCTTAACCCCCTAAAGGCACTTCATAGGTCACTGTTCTCTCTTCCCTTCTCCAGCCTAAGTAATCTATAAGAAGTGTGAGTCAAAGGGAAGCAGTATTTCCTAAGGACATAGCTGGTAAACGTGCATCCAGAATAATAAAACTGAGTACAATCAAACACAAAAGAATAAAATATCCTTAGAGATATTGGAAGCCGGGCTCTGATCCTGGCTGTGCCTTCTACAAACTCTGGGAAGTCACCTGGCCTCCTTTATCTAGGTTTCTTCACCCTCGTCACATGGCAGAACCAGATGATCTGTAATGCTCTTACTTATGTATGTATTATGTATGTATGTACGTATGCAGTAATCTCTACGCCCAACATGGGGCTCCAACTCACAGCCCTGAGATCAAGAGTTGCGAGCTCTACTGACAGAGCCAGCCAGGTGCCCTGTAACGCTCTTCAGCTAGAAATAGTGATGACAAATACAGTCATAGTTATGACACTATTTGGCAGGGACCATAATCAGTGTTGGTGAGGACATAAACAAATTAGAGCCCTCATACGTTGCTGTTGGAAATGTAAAGTGGTGCGACCACTTTATAGTCCCAAAAAGGTTAAATGTAGTCACCAGATGATCCAGCAATTCTTCCCCTAGGTACATATCTGGGAGAAATAAAAACATACCTCCATGCAATAGCTTGTCCTTGAATGTTTATAGCAGCATTATTCGTAATAGCCACGAAGTGGCAACAGCCCAAATGTCCATCAACAGATGATTGGGTAAACAAAATACGATCTCTCCATGTAATAGAATGTTACTTGGCAATAAAAAAAAAAAAATGAAATACTGATACATGCTACCACCTGGATGGACCTTGAAAACATGCCAAGTAAAAGAAGTCGGTCACAAAGGGCCACATAGTGTATGATTCCATTTATAGAAAAATGCCCAGGATAGGCAAATCCATAGAGACAGAAAGTGGATTAATGGTTGCCTAGGGCTGGGGTGGGGGTGGAAGGAGAGAGGGACTGGAGATTGATGCCTGAAGGGTGCAGGGTTTTTCTGTGGGGTATGAAGATGTTCTAACATCAGTCCTGGTGGTGAATGCCCCACTCTATGAATATATACTAAAAGCCACATGAATGTACACTTTCAATGGGTAAATTGTGTGGTATGTGAATTACATATCAATAAAGACATTTTTTGTTTGGAGTATAGTTGACACACAGAGAACAAATACAGTTTCAAAGTCCCCTCAGCCTCACTAGCAGCTCATGCGATCAAACTTTTGGATTGTTGCCCTGCTGATGAGTGAGAAATAATCTCTCGTAGTTTCAGTTCACACTTCTCTTATCATAGGGGAGGTTCAGCATCTGTTCAATTCAAAGTCCATTTATATTGACTTCTTTTTATCATCTACTAAATTCCCATATATATGTGTGTATATACACATATATAGATTTAGGTCTGTTTCTGGACTTTCTAACCTGTTATATATGTCTGCCTACTGATAGGCTAGCACCACATTTGTCATTATTAAAGCTTTACAATAAAACAGGTGGTGAGACACTCAACAAAGTCAAGCTGGCTGGCTACTCAGGGCAAGTGCAATCCCCAGCCACCCCCGACTGCCAAATCCAGTCACGGTCCAGGCTGCCACGTTCCCAGAGAAGTCATGGCATTGTTTCACATATGGAGAAACACTTTAAGTTCATCACAAGAACGCTTCATCAGAATGCCAAGATAATACTGGAAAAGGCCAAGATTAGGAAATGCATTCAGAAGGGCACACAGTAGTTGCAAGAACACATACCAAAGACGCAAGCCATCAGGAAAACCAAGCAATTTCTTGAGAATAAAGGCTAACGTTGATGCCATGGCTGCCTGAGACCAAACTGTAGTGACCATGAGCAAAGGCAAGTCTGTGGCAGGTGCAGTTGGATCACGGCTGCCATGCTGGGGAGTATGAACGTGGACAAAAGATTTCTGTCCGGAAGGATCTTAGATATTTTGAGAAAGAATGAGAGAGAGAGAGAGAGATCACTCACATTCACATAACTTTTATTCCAGTATATTGTTATAACTTTTATCATTGTTGTTGTTGATCTCTTCCTGTGCTGAACTTGTAAATAAAGCTTTATCACAGGTATGCATGTATTGGAAAAAACATAGTATATAAAGAGTTCAGTACCATCGTGGGGCCTTGCTCAGAGCAGGAGCCGATGGATGGTGCTTACTTAGTTGATTAAACGTGAGTTGAATTTCATCATGTTGGTGACATCTCCCCCAGTTGGTAGACTTAGGGAAGTACTGTCCTGCAGCAGTCAAAACTTCCAGCTTCCGTTTTCTGCCAAGAAGAGGGAATGGGAGTAGGAGTGGGTGAGAAGATGTTTTCCGGGGCCAGCCTGTGCCCCATACACCTCAGGTGATTGCTGCCAGTTTTTATCTCACTCTCCTACCATTATCCTGACCAACTCACAGCACATGGCATACCTAGCCAGGGCTGGCAGCAAAGTCCCTCAGAAGAATCACCTCGGGAACAAGTCTAAAATGCAGGTGTCCAGGCTCCACACTAAGAGACCCTGCTTTAGAGTGTAGCCGGGAAATCTGGGTTTCAGCAAACCTCTGATGACTCAGACATAGGAGTTCCTGAGATACATCCAGGGAAACACTGGCCCAGTGAACCAGACCCTCTGCTCGATTCATCCACGCTACGTATGCTAAGCACCTACTCAGCAAAGGCCCAGGGAAAGCTACACAGAGAGCCTGTTCTCATGGCGCTTACAGCTTCCCAGCAGAAATCACATGAGTGGGATACCCTGTTCTTATTCCCATTTCACAGCCAAGGAAACTGAGGCCCAGAGAGGACATCTTGACCACAATCATAAAACTAATAAGTGATAGACACATTTCTGACATGACCTTGAGGAAGGTATCAGATTTCAAGACTGGCTGTCTTAACAATTCCTATAGATAAATACACAGTTGGTTTCTGGTCTGAATGCTCCTGGCAAACCTAGTGTCCTGGAGACGTTGAATCATTATTACAGTTTGCAAAATGCTTCAATTTTCATCGGCATTAAAACTGCAGCCCACGTGTGTGGTAACCTGACTTCCGGAGGTTGTGTAAGCTGTCCCAGCCAGCCAGGCAGAGTCCTGGCTTCAGTCCTGGCTCCTTGGGGCTGTGGGCCATTGGCAGTTAGGATACTGTGGAGATGTGGAGGAAAGATCTAGTCTGAGTGAGACAGGGTTGTGCTGAGGCTGGGAGTGAAACTATTCAAAAGAAGGATTAGTCACAGCCCATCTCTTGGAAAGCTAGTTCCATGAAGATCGAGCCCCCCGTTGCCTGCTCTCTGTGATTCATGTTACCTATGCCCACACCAACTCAGTCTCCAGAGGTGGAGCCCAGACAGAGGTTCTCTAACTCCCCAGGTGACTTTTAATGAGTACCCAGCATTAAAAATCACGTCTGGTGGGGCACCCGGGTGGCTCAGTCAGTTAAGCTTCCGACTCTTGATTTCGGCTCAGGCCACGATCTCATGGTTCGTGGGAGGAAGCCCCATGTTGGGCTCTGCACTGACAGTGTGGGGCCTGCTTGGGATTCTCTTTCTCTCTCTCTCTCTCTCAAAATAAATAAATAAACTTAATTTTCTTTTTTTAAATCGGGGCTAGCCATTCACCTTGACTTTCTTCATTCTCTACTTGCTTGGTTGCACGTGAACATGACATCGTGACTCACGGGGTGCTTTCTTATTCCAGATGAAGGGAGAAGCCGGAAGTATGCGACAGGAGAAGCCCAAACAGGTAAATGCCAGCACCACCCCCGCTTCCCCAAGCTGGGGAGAACGCAGCCCGTGACTCTTTCCATATCTGCAGGTGCTGCGTATCTGAGGTCTCCCCCAAGGTTTAGGGGTAGCTGACACATTGGTGGTGGTGGTGCTCATTTCAGTAGCTGAGCAGAAACCCTTGGACTTCAGGCTGCCATGTAACCGTAGCCCCTTTGCCTGTGAGAGGGAGCAGGACCGCATGAGAGTGGCCCAAAAGCCTGCTAGCTGTGCTCGCATTCCCTCTTGGCCCCTAAGAATGTCCCGTGCCTCAGGCCTTTGAAACCACCCCTTTCTGTAACTGCTCCAGAGACAGGAGAGGCCCACTGGGGGCTAGAAAGTGGGACTGGGAAGCGGCTCTCGACCCCAGCTAACTTCTGCACTTTACTGAGCCCTTTGGGCTGTTTCTATTCTGTTCCCTTGGGCTGCCAGAGAGAGAGAAAACACCATAACTACTGAAAAAAAAAATGGCTAAGCCTATCATGAAGTTAAGGTTTTATTTT